CTCCCGAAATCTTTGCTGCAGCCACACCAAACTGCCAGCCCGTCACACTCTATTTCTTGTTCAGTAGGCTTCTGGGGACATGGTGGAATTTAATAGCTTCAGGTGGTAAAGGGTTAGTTCTCAGCAAGCATCCTGAACCATTGTGACTGGGCACCCTGGGGACAGGAGGGCACCCCAGTGTGCTGAAAAGCCTCAGGAATGGTGAGACAGCAGGACCTGGTACCTGTCCGTTGTCACCAGCTCTGTCCATGGTTACTTCGGAGCTCAGGAGTTTCTGGCTCGAGCAATAAGCAAGCACTCTCCTGGCCAACATCAGCCTCCTGCCAGTGGCAGGACTGCTCAAGTCCTCCTGAATTGCCATCAAGTCACACAGCCAGTCCCCCTCACCTCCCTTCTTTCCCATCACGTCTTGTGCCACCACCCCCACTGTCCCTTCTTAGCAGCCCTACCGACTGCTCTCCAGTCGGTTGGTGCCTCTGACGAGCCTTTTGAGTGGCCATGTGATGCTGCTCCCTGCATCCCCTGGGACCAAGAGATGGGAGTCAAAGAGTCTCAGCCAGTGGAAACAGCCAGGTCCTACAGAAGACCAGTTTCTCTGCCCTTCCTGTCTGTATTAGCCAGGGATGCCATGACAAAGTGCCACAAACGCAGTGGCTGAAAGCTCAGAAATGTATTGTCTCTCAGTTCTGGAAGCTAGTAGTCCAGAAAAGGTGTTGGCAGGGTTGGCTCCTTCTGAGGGGTGTGAGGAAAGGGTCTGCTCAAGGCCTCCCTCCTTGGCTTGTCGATGGCCGTCCCCATGTTCGTTGGCATTGTCCCTGTATGTGTGTCTGTCCTAAATTTCCCCTTTTCATGAGGACACCAGTCACACTGGATTAGAGCCCCCCAGTGACCATTTTAACTTGACGACCTTAACTTAAGTCTCTGTCTCCAAATAAAGGCACATTCTAAGGTACTGGGATTAGGGCTTCAAGATCGGATTTTGGGGAACACAGTCCACCCCATCTCTGCTGTCTCTTCTCTGTCTGTTTTGAGTCACAGCATCAGCAGCCCTGGGATCCCAGAACTCACCCTAAGAACTAAGTCAGCGATCGGACCTGGGTTCCGGCCCGAGCGCCGTCACCAGCTGCTCTTTGCCCTTGAATCATAGTTACTTTATTTCTCTGAGCTGGTTTCTGAAACCAAAATGGAGGAGACCATTCCTGCTTTACCTACTTCTCAGAGCTTCTGTGAACATCCGATAAGATGGTGAATATAATAGCCTCATGAAAAACTAAGCACCCCACAAAAGTGGGGTAACATCACTGTACTATCAGTATGATTTCTAGTAAGAAGACAGGAATCCTCAGGCTAGAATAAGCCCACCCTCACCCTCTGAGACTGAAGGAAAACCGTTCCGTTTATGAAGCCATCCCTTTTTATTCCTCCCAAGAGGAAACCTCACAGTTCCCAGACTCCAGTTCAGATGAATTACAGCGTTGGTTCACTCCACACCGTCCTCACCTAACCCACCCACTGTGCCACGTCTAAGCCCCCGGGTTTCTTTCTGGCCTGAATAGAGGAGAACTGATTGTCACCCAGCATTTTCCAGTTGGCCCCGTCTATTAAGTCAGACTTGACCTGCTCACTCACCACGCGCCAGGTGCTGTGCTTGGGACGAGGGTCTCAGAGCCCAAAAAGGCATCAGCCTCGCCCTTCTGTTGCTCCCAGTCTAGAGGCCAGGAGTCCTGGCGCCAAGTGGCCTTCTCCCTGAGAAACATAGCCCTTCCCAGGAAGCGCTTCCTAACCTCTGTTCTCCTCAGACAGTGCCCTCACACCCCCCTCACAGGTAACCTTAGCCTTCTTGGCTGTGAACTGTCCCTTAAGCCAGGCTGACTCCATTCGTGTTAGTGTCTTCCACGGGTGACTTCGGTGCGTCTGGTGGTCCTGCTAGGGATTCATGCTCAGCCGAAGGCTGCAGCCCCAGCGTCTACGTGGAGAAGACCGCATCACCCTGCTGTTCTCGAATGGGTATCTGGGACCTGATTCCACCCTCGGTCCTGTGCAGTGTGACAAGAGAGGTGGCAGTCTGGTGGCTGGTCTAGCTCCCGAATGAAGGATTCTTGTTCTTTCCATCACATCATCTCTCCCCTGGTAGCCCGGTTGATCTGGCTGAGGGGAGTTTTCCCAAGTCTAAACTACTAGTTCCTGCTCCCCCCAGTTTCTCTCTGGTCAGTATGTTTGACAGCACTGTCTTCCCCACCTGTGTTTGCAGATTCTCCTGCCCTCCCCCACTTCAGCCCCTGGCACGCTTCCTCGTGTGGACCCAGGGACCTCTAATTTAGCTGAGAATCTCTCCTAAGAACACCCCAAATTTTCCTATATGGAGAGCTAGCTAATCCTCATTTCACTAACCCCCCAACCTGCTCGTCCTTGCAAAGATCCCAGTGGCTTCTCCCCACTTCTCAGTAAAGGCTTAGAGAGCCTCTCACTTAATAAATTTCTGCAGTTTGCTTATTAGTGCCTTGTAATGCAGCCACCTAAATAATTAAGACTAACCCACACATGTCAAATTAAATGAGCCAAATACATTGAGAGATTGCCTCGTCCTCCATTTCTTTTATTAATCAGTTTTTTTAAAAAGAAAAAAAAACCTCTCTTCCTGCTCATTTGCAAAAATCAAACATGGTCCATAAGACTCTTTCTTGCAATAACTGTGAGGACGTGTAGCCTCTTTCCCTGGGCGAGCCCCCTGGGGGGCTCATTATGTGACGTAGGGTGGGGAGGAGGGGGTTGGGGTGACTGAGACAGCCAATGTAGATAACAGAGAGTCAACAGGTTGTCTAGTCTCTAAATCTTTAGGAGAGTCATGCCCCCTCCATTTTCCTGAGCGTTTAGGGGACTGTGCAGGAAGCTCAGCAGGAAATCCATCCAGCATCCTTTCTGCCCCAACTCTTCAGTGCTCCCCTGGGCTCAGTGCGAGAACCCAAGCTCCCTTTCTCATTAGGAGCCGCTGCTGATGGGCCTCAGATGGGCATAAGAAGGCATCGGAAAATGTAATAGGAATCATCAGCAATTGTATCGCTCTGAGGATGAACAATACGCGTGCAATTACGATGGGCTGGTTAACGCGGCCTGTCGTCAGCATGTTGAGGTTTCAATACAGAACAGGCAAGAGGCTATTGTTTGCTGGAGCTCAGCGCCTCCTCGCAGCTTGAGCTTCCGCTGGCTCCCTCCTGGCTCACTGCATTCCTGCCTCTTGAAGGTGGTTGTTAGAAAGAATCCACAAATACAGTAAGTAAACATCAAAGGGGCTTTGATCCGCACGGCCCCTCGACAGAGCAGGAGCCCCTGAAGAAAGGGCCGAGGCCTTGGATGAGGGAACTTAACATCGCCAATTTGGGCGCCTGAGATGTAAGGCTGTTTGAAGTGAGGGCGGTTTGGCTGTGCCTTCAGACAAGCCAGCAAGCGTGGAGGGAGAGGAAGAGAAGTGAGTGCCTTTAGAAAAGGCACGCTCAGATCTGCTTCTCTGCTCTTTACTGATAGCCAATAAACCCCTTTAAAGAATCAGAAGATCAAAGCCGGCAACCTCCCTGGGCCATGGCATTCTGCCACCGTCCACCACGCTTTGTTTATCTCTGGGCAAGAACCCCCAAGCTTGGCTTATCTGGGTCTCTTGGGCCCTTTCATCCTGCTGCCCGCGGAGGCTGGGCCTGGGCAACAAGTGGTGGGTGGGGAGGTCGGGAGGAGAATGAGCCCACCCCTCTACACTCACAGCCTGGATGCCGACTGGCTGGGGCTCTGAGAAACACCCAGGGTCGTGGGAGAAGCTACTGTGAAACACCATTCAGTGGGACCCTCCTTCTCTAAGAAACCGATGGAGGGAGCAGCTGGGCACCTGGAAAGCTGGCAAAGCCGGGGAGGAGCGGCAGTCACTTCCCCCAGAAGTCATATCCATTTACCCAGTTTTTGGCAGCTGCCACATTTGTATGACTTCAAAGCAAAGACGTGGGGACAGGGAGTCTAAAATAATCACGGGCAGTCGTTTAACATCTTTGAACTTCAATTTTCTCATCTGCATAATATGAATAGTAATAACCGATCTGCCTACCCCATGCGGTGGTTGTGAGGGTCAAAAGAGAAACTTGGTGTGGTTTTATTGCTTCAGAACCCGTAAAATGCTTAAAACAAATCAGGAGTGAAGGAGAAATAGCAGAGAGGGAACCTTGGCTGGCCGAGAAACTCCAGTCCAATGCTCACACACAATGGGCACTGATTTACAAAATATCCCCGGGGGGGAAAATGCTCTCTTGCGTTTGCTACCTAGAATTGTCGTTCTAACTTGCTTTTCCATTGGGTCAAAGTCTTGAGGGACCAGAGTCTAAGTCTTATGTCCCTTAGCTGTCCCAACTCCTGTGTTCCACACTGAGTCTGCACCCCGTAAGGGCCTAATGATGATGCTGAATTGTGCCTGAATATAAGGATGCACAGAGATCCCCAGTCCTGGAAATTCACTCTCTACCTGTACCGTGGCCCCTGTGTCTTCCCCCAGATTCACCCAATCACTTCTTCACCCACTGTCTGGTTGTACTGCTCCATCCTGGACACCACTGGCTGGACCCTGCCTCTTCTCTGGGCCTGATCACAATTCTGGGATATATAGGGCCTCGTTAACCTAGAGAGTAATGGTTATGAGCATGGGCTGTGGATTCAGACTGCCTGGGTTCAAACTCTTGGCTCCATCATCTACTAGCTCTTTCAGCTGAGGCTGCCTACTTAATATGTCCGTACAGGAGATAATATAAAATGGGGATAACAATGGTATATACCTCATAAGGTTGTGAGAATCAAATGTGGAATTATTGGCCTGCTATTATGCCTGGACCATAGTAAGTGCTTTCTAAATGTTTATTAAATAACTAAGTAGCCCTTTTATAGGAGGAACAAGCTTCACATCCCTTACAAAGGGACCTTCACTGACACCTGACCTATTCCCAGCTCACCCCAGTATGCTTTCCTTCCAGAGCTGGGCCTCCAGAAGAGAGGATGCTGTCTGGTGCTGGGCTACATGGCCAAGGACAAGTTTCGGAGAATGAATGAAGGTAAGTGAGAACCCGCCCACACTCTCAGGGGCAGTGGGGAGGGAAGGAGCCACGCTGCACAACTATGGTATCAGGGAAGAGACCCTGGGGCATCTCAGAACGGACAGTGGACAGAGCAGTTTGGTTTTGATGCAGCTGTTCATGCAAGAATGTGGGGAAGGGTAGCTCATGCCTGATTCATGAGCGTTTTCCCTTATGCCACCCTCCCTCCTCCTTTTGTACCCCGACTTCTCTCTCTTCCCTGCCTTTTGTTCCTCACCTACCCACCCAGTGCAATTAAACTTGCTTCTATTTTTTTTCTAATTCAGACCTCTCTGCCTTTCTCTTTAATCATTCACATTTCTTGAGTGCTTATTGAATAAATAGCACCTCACAGGGCACTTGGGAGGACACTGAAGAAGAATAAGGCAGAGCTTTTATTCTTACAGAACTTCCACTTGGAAACCTGCCCTCTTTTCCAACTCCATTGGCCCTACCTCGCCCTCTTCCTCATAGGCCGTTCTGCCTTCCTCTAGTTCTGGGTCTTTCCTCCGAGGCTTGACTGGGTCACAGAAGGCTGGGGGAAGGTATTGACATTGACATGCAGGCTGGGGTGTGGAAGGGGGGCTGTCACTTATGGGTCTGCTGTAATAAAGAGCCAATCCCCTCATCCCCAGCCATCTGTCTCTGTGCAGCTAATAACCCTCTCCATCAGATGCCACAGACTGTTTGTCAGGATTCAACAGTAGATAAACAATGGCTGGGGATGCCATTTATTCATTAAAGTCAGACAAATGAAGCCCTGGCTTCCCACCAGCCCAGCTTGCGGTGAGCCGAGCCCCTCCCCTCCCAAGGCCCAAGGCCCTCGTAGCCTCATTTCCATTCCAGGCATGGAAAAGGCAGCTCACCTGTACCATCTCAACCCCCAGAGTTAGACCATAGCATGGTTCCAGTGCCCTCTTTCTATGCTTCTCTGCCGGCTCTCTTCCCAGCCTGCAGTTCAGGACACCCACACCTCCATGTGCTCCCCAGACCTAACGCCTCACCAACTATAAGCTTGTTGCCAGCACCCATCATGGTGACAGTCTGACAACAGTTAGGGCAGCACAATTAAACGCAAGGAGTATTGCCTTCCCCATTTTGCTGCCTGCCTGTGTAAGAAGGCAACAGCATCAAGAAGCCACTTCCTATTTGTAGTAACCCCATGGCTAAGCACAGCCAGGGTTGAGGGCTGCATTTTCTGCATCCTGCCAGTCAGCCTCCCATCCTGACTTTTCTTTCTCAGCCTACCCCCTCCCTTTCCGCCACCACCTTCTTGCGAGTGCTCGGCAGTAACTTCTAATTTGTGGAAACTGACAGCATGCCTCTGTCCGTGGTGCTGAATAGACACATACTCTTGCTGGCAATGCTCATTAGAGAAGCTGAAATGAGGTTCACACGGATTGGGGGAAGCTCCAAAAAGTCAGCAGCTGGTCTGGATTCAAAAGCTCAAGCTTCTAGTGTCTGACCCCAGTAGAAGGATGCTTACTCCAGATCTTGGGGCCTAAAAAGAGTCTTACTTTTCACGAGGCTGATGGACACGTTGACTCCCCCTACCTTTCACAAATGGCTAAGAGGGTATCCAGTCAGCCTGGGCCATAACAAAATACCACAGACTGGGTGGCTTAAACAGAGAAATTTTTTTTCTCATGGTCCTGGAAGTCCAAGATCAGAGTGCCTGCATGGTCAGGTTCTGGTGAGGGCTCTCTTCCTGGTTTGCAGACAGCAACCTTCTCACTGAGTCCTCACATAGCAGAGAGAGCAAGTTCACTGGTGTCTCTTCTTATAAAGACATGAAGCCTATCAGATCAAGGTTCTACCCTTAGGACTATTTAACCTTAACACTTAAAGGCCCTATCTCCAAATACGGTCACAATTAGGGGTTGGGACTTCAACATAGAAATGGAGGGTGGACATAATTCAGACCATAACAAGGAGTCTAAATACACTGGCCACAGCAGAAAGGTACAGTGGCAATACTCTGAATCAGAGGTTAGGAAAATAGTAAGAAAAATAAGTGAAGCCTTAATATCTCCTTAGACATTGTTTAAGTAAAGAAGGGAGGAAGAAAGTCCAGGAGGACTAGAAGAGAATTTGGAAACAAGACCAGGACCTGGTTACCTCTGAGGACACTCAGCCTTACTTTGTACAACAACTTTTCAATAGTTCTTTCTTGTTTAAAAAGGAAGGTGCCTCTTCTCTCTAAGCCCCCTCTTCAAACACACACAATCCATACAAATGGGTTATTCCTTTCAACTGATTGTGGTCAACTCAGTTAGGAATGAGAGCTCCCAGGTGCCTTACCCCAACCTATACCCTCCCCCAGTGAAGACGAATTGAGAATCAAGCAAGGTATTCAGAAAGAGGGAGGCAAAAGAGGCATAGTAATGGCCAGGAGGCAACAGAGCAGCTAACCCCCCACCCCTGCCTTCCTCTCTGCATGTGCTTCTCACCCCTTCCAAATGCAGTGACACACATTCATGCTCACACACAACCACACACAGAGTAGCTGCTTCTCCTTCTGGATAAACAAGGAGATAAGGGGCTGGTAAGCAAGTTAAACCACCATATGTGAGGAGTTGCAACTCTCAACTAACAAAGAGGAGACAAGATGGGAGGTGGGTGAGTGGGGTAGAAGGAGAGGTGCAGGAGGTGGGTCGGCTTTGGTTCTGGAGGGGTGGAAGGCATGAGGAGGAAAGGAGGAAGGGGCCTGGCGGGGAGTGGAAGGCTCCTCGGCTCCCACCCCAGCCAGTCTTGCTACCCGAAGCACCACATTATACATTTTTTTCTATTTCTAATGCTCACATGCCCAAACTCCAACATGCCTGCAGATAAGAAAGAGCATCTGCATGGAGAGCTGTTTTATGGTTTATAATTATCTTGTACCAATACTCAAAATAATTATAACTTCCACATATTAATAATTGAACTGGAACAGCAGCTATGACATAGATCAAGAAACAGAAATCTCTGTCCATGCTGCACTATACACCTTGGTATAAACTGAATAATCGGTAAAACAGTAAAAAATATATACACTTTTTTCTCCCAGATGCTGGAATTACTGAGATATTGGAACAATTAGCTGCCTCTTCCATTAAAGATAAGGTGGTGATCATTATAGTTCCAAATCAGAATAAACATAAAAGACCTATTGTGCTGTATTAAAGCATATTTGTTCGGTTTAACAGTGTCTAGCAGGGTGTCTGTCACCCGGGGAGAAGTGGTCCCCTATTTCATTTGTTTCCTTGTTAATGTGGTGTGTTTTTATTTTCTTTTCTCTCCACTCTCCCCACCTCACTACATGCCCCCCAAAATAACAGCTTGGGAAGAAACAAGAGAAAAATAATGAATGAACAACTTTATGGATCTGGGGTTTATCATAAGCTAGAGTAATCACAATTGATGCTGTTAAACTACACAAAGCAATGAAAAGAAAACACTGTTCAAAGATCATTTAAGGAGGCATGTGATAGTCAGTGAGAGGTTTGCTCTATTTGGAAGCACGTAATAGCTTCTCTGCTAAAATCTGCAGCATTTGCAGGAATGGCGGTGGCTGGTAATACAGGGGGTGGGGGTGTGTGCATGTGTTCTTTCCTGTTTGGACTCAACACATCTGAGGCATCCAATGGAGATATGAACCCAAATTAATGAAGGATAGACAAGAAAGGAGCAAATAAAGACAGACTAGGCATCAGAATATCCGATTTGCTTGACACAATTGTCTTCATGTGATTAAGTACATGGGTGCTTTAAGTAGAACCTGCTGGAAGGAGATCATTTATGTATTCATCAAACAGTCAATGAATACGCACTGTAAAAATAATACCCATTTTTCATAATAAATGCCAGCCACTGTTCTAGGCACGGGAGCTTTAAAGTAACTAAGATGTAGCTCCTGCCCTCAAGCTCCCAATAAAAACACACAGGTGCGTCTCAGTGTCCACAGGGACACTGTACCCGACCACTTCACCTAAATTAGAGACCCCTCTTCCTCCACCAGTGTGCTCCATTGTGACAACCAGCCTATTTTCTTTGTGGCACTTCCCCTAACTGGTGATTATTTGCTTACTAGACTGTCCCACCTCAGAGTTACCTTCAGGGAGGCAAAGACCCTGCTCCCTCCTTTCCTCCTAATCCTGGGGACTTAGGCCAGGGTCTTGCACATAGGGAGCAATCAATCAATTCTAATGTAAGTAATTAAGTAGCATGACGAGTGACAACAGAGGAATGCACAAAGCCACCCACAGGTGTAAGGTGCATCTTGAGAAGGCGCCCAGCCAGCAGAGCACCCTGACGTACAGCATGAGTCTCCACATCCCAGCAATTCCATAAGCCTTGCCTCTCAGCCTCTCCTCTGCTTCCAGTTCCACAGTCCCTCCTGGGAGGCTAGGACCCGGGCAGGGTAACAGAGTGGGAGGACTAGGAGGGGAGGCCACCAGGGGTGGTGTCCATCCTGTCCCCACCTGCCTTTCTTTCTCACTCCTCCTACAAGTGGGCCACCTTCTCACCTAGGGCATCCCTAGGCAGGTGTCTCCAATCAGATCTGCAAGGGGAATTGCTTTCACGGTCCCCTCCCCACACAACCCAACACACACACACACACACACACACACACACACACACCCATTCCCTTTCCTTCTCTCGTCCTTCCCCAGTTACCCATTTCTCCTGGGGAGCGCAGAACGACTCACCTGCCGAGCCCACATTGCTCGCCCAGGGCTGATCCTGCCCACTGGCAGGATAGGAAGCTCTCACATGGTCTCAGATGAGGGGCTCTGCCTGCCTCTCAGAAAGCACAATACTCTTCTATGTTAGAGCCATAAGCAACCTTACAACTATGGTGCAACCCATCAACCCAAGGACACCCAGGGCCATCGAGGGACTTGCCCAGGGTAAATAAGAAGTTGCTGGAAGAGCCAGGACCACAACCCAGGTCTCCTGACACCCAGTCCAGTGCTCTTAGAATTTAGAAAGAGGAG